GCCGCCCCAGCCACTCAGCGGGCGCCGTTCAGCGTCTATGGATGAATTAACCCGAGAGCCACCACTCGCAGCCTCCGCCTGTTTTATATCCCAATCCCCCACCTTCTCTCCTTGCTTTCTCGACTCTGTCACCCTTCCCCGGACCCCTGAGGGGGTACAAGGACGGGAGGGCTGGGGGGAAGAGAGCCAGGCAGCTGCGGTGAGCGAGGGCTGCGGGGCAGGGGGGGGCCCTCTCACCCAAGCCGAGGGCTGCGGGGTAGGGGGGTGCCCTCTCCCCAAAGGAGCAGATATCCATAGGTCCCCAGTTCTGGTCTTTGGAAGCACCCCGTGGGCTCTCGTGAACCCACAGTGAGCCAAAAATAAGGGTCACCCTTTGCAGGATGGCTGAGTGTGCCCTCACCACGTTCCTGCACGCCTCCGACGCCTGTTTTCTCCCTGCCTTGCAAATGGATGGGATGAATTCGGGGAAAAACGGACTCAAAGAGGTGGTCCTCCTTCCTCCTCGCCTGCGCAGGTGGGAGACGTGAATGCTGCTGGACCACGTGGGTGATCGAGCTCAGAAGAAAAGCTCGGCGGCCTGATGGCTGACAAGGAACCCATTTCTCGTCGTTCACTGGCATGGAGCTGGTGTTGACCGTGAATTTCACAGAATCACAGAATGTTTGGGCTTGGAAGGGACCTCTGTGGGTCACCCAGCCCAACCCCCAGATCCTGCCTGTGCCTTCCAGCCTCCCTACGGGGCACGCATCCTTCCTGGTGGGACTGGAGGGAGTCATAATCCCACCAGCATCTTTCCCGGGGAGGCAGCGAAGGGTTTCTTCACTGCTATCTCCTCCCAGCTGGCGCAGGGAGTTATAAAAGCCACGACGTGTGACCCTTTAGCGGTGGCCACGGGGCCTCATGGGTCCCGAGCCCTACCTTGAGAACCGCAGGGTGATACAAAGACGGTGCTGGGAGCTCAGGCAGCAGATGCTGGAGCTGGGTCCAGCTTGCGCCAAGGAGCTCACCCTGAAACCAGCATCCCCCAACACACCACAGCGAGAAGAAACTGGGATTTTCCTTCACCAGGTAGCCCATGGCACCTGCCGATGGCAGTAACTCGCCGTGGGTTTTTTTTGACTCTCCCAGGGAGCGAAAGGGTGAGAAGACAGGAGCCTGGGGTCCCTGGGAGCGCTTGCAGGGCTGAGTGAGAAGCAGGCGGTGATGGTGATGAAGATGCTGGAGAATTATGCAGGGAATGGGGTGGGGAAAGTGTCCGGGGCTCTCCTGGGCTGAAAAGAAAAGGTGACTGCAAGGGGCAGTGACAGGGACCGGCAGCGGGGATGGTCAACCACATCCCAAAGACGACGGCGAGCTGAAGAGGAGCAGTTTGCTGTCTACGTGCTCCCCTGCTCTGGTGCAGAGGATGAGGAAGGCACAAGGGTGGCACGCGCTGCAGCATCTGCCCAAAGATCTGCTCAGCCCTGCTCCAGGCTGCGACGGATGCGCGCTAGCACTCTCCCAAGATAGGATGGGAGGGAACGGCCTCAAGTTGTGTCAGGGGAGGTTCAGATTGGATATTAGGAAATATTTCTTTACTGAAAGAGTGGTCAGGCGTTGGACCAGGCTGCCCAGGGCGGTGGTGGAGTCCCCATCCCTGGAGGGGTTCAAAAAACGTGTGGATGTGGCACTTTGGGACATGGTTTAGCAGGCACGGTGCAGTTGGGTTGACGGTTGGACTTGATCTTGGAGGTCTCTTCCAACCTTAACGATTCTGTCATTCTACCAGATGCCAAGACAAGGTGATGTCTGCAAATGACCCCGGAAAGTTGTCCTCCTCCCTCTTTTTTGCCCCATAATAGCACTTCGCCTGGGCAGCTGGGGCACAGCAAGGCGGCGCGGGTTTGCAGAGCGGGTCGGTGGCAGAGCGGAGACTGGACCGCTCCGGCTTCCCAGTCCCAGCCCTGCAGCTTTCCTACACCCCTTCCTGCCCTGCCCGGCCCTGCCTGCCCTGCCGGAGCGGGCCGGGAGG